AAACCCTAAGTATATAAACTATAAGAATTCAGCATTTTAATAATTAATCACACATCTATTTGCAAGAATTCTTACCTTGGGATGCTTAGGATTGAATCTCTACCAAAAATCCAACCAAAAGCCCTTTAAAATGCCTTGAAAATTGATGAAGAAATTGAGAGAATTGAGAGCGAAGATGGCGTGAGAGGGAGTAGAGAATGATGGGGTTTTTTTGTGCTTGAACCTTTAATATCTCATATTAATAGGCATACTTTCCCATTTTGCCCTTACACTTTCTTGAAAATTCCATCTTTGCCTTTTAGTCAATTATAAAAATTCCCTTACCTTCATTGCATTCTCCATAAAATTTCCTTACTTTACACTCCCCATATTTACAACTAAATAGGGGTAGAATGGTCATTTCTCCCTTAAGACATTTTTCTCTAGGATTTTCTCAAGAATTCTAGCCAGCCCTTTGCCCCGGCGAAGTTTTTTCTTCTCCTCGGCGAAAAATTCTAGAGCATACGTCGCCGCGGAGAACTTTCTTCTTTGCTGCGGCAAAGTCTACAATTCCCATCCTCCACCTTGCAACAAGCAAAACTATGGGCAAACAAGCAACACGAAGAGCATGTAAGCTTAATTAAGGGCGAACAAGCATGAATAAGTTACGTACCTCAATGTGGGCGTTACAGTTTACCAAAACGAAGGTTTGAAATGGGATAGATGGGATCTCAGTCCACTAGGAAAGCCAACGGGCTTTCCCAAGTCATTAGTGAGGGCTATTAGCTTGAGGAAAATAGTGGGAGCATTTTTAATAAAAGACCATATCAAAACAATAATAAACATTATATTGACTTTACTTTTCTATATTGTAGATTAATTTATGTAACGCCCCACTTGAGGTACGTTGTTATTGTTTCCTCTTTCGCCCTTAATCGAGTTGGTTTTTGTTATATTTGTTTGTTTGAGAATTATATTGAATGTTACCCTGAAATTGGTTGAAAATAGAAGAATCTTAGTGAACCAAGCTTCGCCGGGGCGAAGAAGAGTCTTCGCCGCGGCGAAGATGTTTGAACCAACGTGGGAAACTCCTGGACAGTTTCGCCGCGGCGACAAGGTTTCTTCCGCCCGCGCACGGGCCGATTTCATGTTGGTTGAGTTTTTTAGAGACATTTTCTTCCCTAAGGGCAATTTGACCTTTCTACCCCTAATTAGCAGGAAAAGTGGGAGTTAATTGTAAGGATTTTTCATGGAGATATGTTGATATGGGGGTGAGTTTGTAATGAATCAAAGGATATGGATGGAATTTCCAAAGATGAATAAGGGCAAAATGGAATGAGGTGTTATATTTCATTAAAAGGAATTAAGAGTTAGCAAACCCTCATTCTTCTTCTCCAAAACGCAACCCTTCATTCTCTCTCCTCTCCTTCTCTTTCTTTTGTTCAAGGAATTTCAAGGGATTTTGAAGTGATCTGGGGTATAGAAACAACCTAAGGCTTCCTAAGGTAAGGATTTCTCCTTAGTTTGTGTGATTTGTAGATTTTAGTTCATTTTGGTTTTTGAGGGTTTTCATTCTTTTGGTTAAGAGTAAGAGAATAGCCAAGAAAACCAAGTGAAAGAAGATTTGGTGAAGTCTCTCCATAGCAAGTAAGTAAACCCAACCCAAGTTGAGATTCATGAATTTCTTGATTAGGGTTTATAAATGAGTTGTATTTGATGTGCATGTAATATGCCATGTATGGAGTATTAAATGGATATTTCTATGCTTTGTGAATGTTAATACCTTGCAAATATAGAAATGGGTTGTTGGATTGGCAAGGTATTTGAGATGGAATTGAAGGGTGTTATGGACACCCTCTTTGAATGTGTTATTTGACGGTTTTATGACTTTGTGAAGGGGTTTTTTCCCCATTTTGGATGGTTAGGAAAAGTTTTAGATTCATGCTATGATAGATTTTTATATGTGCACATGATTGTTTTTGATGAAATGCCTATAGGGAATTGAGTGTGAGTAATGAACCTTAATTCTTGCACATTGCATGTTGCATTTCACAAGTGCATTAGTAGAGATGAATCATCCATGTGCATTGTAATATGCATTGACAATGACCTAAGAAGAGTAGGGACTTTGTGTATAGAAAGACCCTATGATAAGAGCTTAGTGGGTAATTACTCTAAGGTAGAGAGCATTGAAAAATGCTACAATAGAATGAGTTAAAAGAGTAATATAGTTGGGATGATGCTTGTGATCATCACCCGACCGTTATGGGAATCGATCGATGCTTGTGATCATCTTCCGAAGGCCCTTAGAGATGGTAGAGGCTTTGTGACCACTACCCGATTAGTTAAGAGATATGTGGTTATGCTTTGTGATCATCATCCAACGCTAGTAGAAGCGGGTTATGCTTTGTGATCATCACCCATAGTGACTAGAGACGGTAAATGCTTAGTGATCATTCCCCAAAATTCATGAGGAACGGTAAGTGCTAGGTGATCCTACCCGATATGTTAGGAGAACCGAGTTGTGCTTTGTGATCCTCACTCGTAGTCACTAAGAAAGGGTTGGTACTGTGTGAATTCCCCCCGATACCATAGAAAGTGAGATGGTGCTGTGTGAACCCATCCGCGCCGTACCTCCGTTAAGATGGGCCATGATGTTATTAGAAACAGAAATAAAACAGATTAGAAAAGAAAGAATTAAGATTCACACACGGGGCAGACAGTTAGAGAGTTTTCTTACTGAGCATTATTTGTGCACCCCGTTATTTTTCCTTTGTGGAGCAGGTTCTAGGTGATGATGCGGTTAGGGGCGTCGGCGCGCGAGGAGCAATAGCTACACTGTTCCCTATTTTGTCTTTTAAAATGCACTTTTGTAAACAGTAACCTTTGTGTATAAAAACTGTGAATTGTAATGAAAAAAACATTTTGGGCCCAATTTTCCATTGTTATTGCATGCATTGTACTAGTTTTCAGTAGGTGTTACAATTTAAAATGAGCAATATCAACCTATATCAATAATCGAGAAGAAACAGGTTGGATGGATCTAATTTCTCAGACTGGTATCGAAATCTTGATTGTACTAAAGTCTGAAAAGAAATTATATCCTTGACAAGCCTTATTTGGCTGAGCCTGATCCTGATGCCACTCGGAAGTAAAGGAAACTTACCAAGGTTCCTTGACGATCTTGATACTGTTCAATGCCTTATGTTAACATCGATGACACCAGAGCTACAAAAACAACATAAGAATATGGACGCTGCTGCCATAATTCGCATCTCAAGGAGCTTTTCAAAGGAACGCTCAACATGAGTGGATAAGTGGTCAGTACGTTATTAAATTAGTATGACTAGGGAGCCCAATTGGCCTCATGTGCTGAAGATTGGGTACATAGAGAGGCTTGAGACTTTGGGATTTGGGTTGGATGCAGAATTACAAATGATTTAATTCTGCAATCCTTACCTGATTCTTTTGCACTGTTCATTATGAATTTCAATATGAACACGATGGTGAAATCCCTATCAAGCTTCTAACATGCTGAGCCTACCCAGCAGGACATGAAAGGTCCAAGCCGTTTTATCGGTTACTGCCAGTATGGTGATGGAAATCCTAACCATCATGCCAATCCCAATTGCTAGGTTTCGTTGACTCAGGACAACATAAGATCAACATTCGGCCCAAGCTCCCAAGCACTCAAGGAAGTTCACAAAATTGTCCAAGAAGTCTTAAGTTCCAAGGCACGCTCAAGCCCATTTTGTGACCTAAAACGTGTACAAGAGTGGAGCAAGTTTCATTGGCCCAAGCCCAAGTTTTGGGTGTCATTTGATTCAAATTTTGGAGGAAAAACCCTAAAAATTGTTGTTAGGACAAGGTCCTTAAATTAGGGAAAAGTTGCCCACTTGATCATTAAATGGTTATGGCTTAATTTGAACATGTGTGGTGGACTTTTGTTTATGTATTTGAATGTAATATTTAATGTTTTCATTATGTAATTTTGCTAGGTAATCCCTAATTTTTGTAAAGCCTATATAAAGGCCACTTGATCATTTGTGTAAAGGATTGAATATGAATAATAGTGACTTGTCTTAGTTTTTCTCTTGTTTCCTTTACCCAAGTTCGCCAAACTTGGTGGTGGAGTATCTTTCAAGCTGGTGGAGTTTCCTTTAGGCTTGAGTCCTTGGTCATCTCTTATGTAAGTTGTATTCCTTTAGTTTCAAGTAAACTCTTTTCCGGAATTTGTTTTGCATGGTGTTATATTCCATTTGTTGTCTTTAACTAAATGATTTGGTGAATGACTAAGCTGTTATAAGGGGTTGTTTTTAGTCATTTGATGGTTGTTAAAGTGCATGAAGGGTGATAACCGAATGGTCATAAGGAGTTGAAAGAAAACCTAGCCTAGGTTGAATCAAAAGGGGTTGTTTTAGGGTAGTATATGAATTGAGGTTGAAGAAATTCATATCAGGAGCCTCCGAAACTCGAACTCAAACAGCTTCCATCTCACTTAAGGTATGCCTTTTTAGAAGACTCAAAGTTTTATCCTATTATTATTAATGCTTCTTTGAGTGATATAGAGGAAGAAAAGCTATTGAAGGTGTTACGGACATACAAGACAACTATCAGATGGACAATTGCGGACATCAAAGGTATAAACCCCTCAATTTGCATGCATAAGATTTTAATGGAAGAAAGTTACAAGCCAACGGTGCAACCACAAAGAAGACTCAATCCAACAATGCAAGAAGTGGTGAAGAAAAAAGTTTTAAAGTTGTTGGATGCAAGGATCATTTACCCAATTTTGGATAGTGCATGGGTAAGTCCGATCCAACTTGTACCAAAGAAGGGAGGAATGATTGTGGTGCATAACGACAACAATGAACTCATTCTGACAAGAATGGTTACAGGTTGGCACGTGTCAATTGATTATCGGAAGCTTAACTCCACGACATGCAAAGATCACTTCCCACTTCCCTTCATCGATCAAATGCTAGAGAGATTAGCTGGCCATGCATTCCATTGTTTCCTAGATGGATACTCAGGATACAATTAGATTGCAATAACACCAGAAGATCAAGAAAAGACCATATTCACATGCCCATATGGAACATTTGCATACCAAAGGATTCCGTTTGGACTATGCAATGCACTAGCCACTTTTCAACATTGCATGATGTCCATCTTCTCAGATATGGTGGAGAACTCCATTGAGATTTTTATGGACGACTTCTTCGTGGTAGGTAATTCCTTTTATTCTTGTTTATCTAACCTTTCTTTAGTTTTGCAGAGATGTGTGGAGACCAATCTAGCACTAAATTGGGAAAAGCATCACTTCATGGTACAAGAAGGAATCGTGCTAGGCCATAGAATCTACATCAATGGGATCGAGGTGGATTGAGCAAAGGTAGAGGTCATTGAGAAGTTAACAACCCAAAATTCCGTGAAAGTCATTCGAAACTTCCTTGGACATGCCAACTTCTATAGGAGATTTATCCAGGACTTTTCAAAAATCTCTAAACCTTTTTGTGATTTATTAGCAAAGGATGCATCTTTTAATTTCAATAAAGAGTGTTTAAAAGCATTAGAGTGCCTAAAAGCTAAATTGATATCTGCTCCTATAATTGTTGTGCCCAATTGGGAATTACCTTTTGAATTAATGTGTGATGCTACTGATTATGCAATAGGAGCTATGTTAGGGCAACAAAAAGGTAGAATATTCCATGTCATTTATTATGCTATTAAGACATTGATGAGACCACAACTAAATTATGCCACAACGGAGAAAGAATTTTTAGCTGTTGTCTTTGCAATTGACAAGTTTTGTTCTTATTTGCTAGGTACAAAGGTCATCGTGCACACCAACCATTTCGCTTTGAAGTACCTCCTAGAAAAGAAGGATTCCAAGCCAAGATTGCTTAGATAGGTTTTACTTCTTCAAGAGTTCAACTTAGAAATCTGAGACAAGAAGGGAACTGAGAATCAAGTGGCGGACCATCTATCTCGATTGGAAAGAAGGGAAGAAGAGCAAAATGACGAAAAGCCAATCAATGAACATTTCTCGGATGAGCAACTATTTGTAGTGCAAGAACCAATTACATAGCAAAAAAGGCGCTACCTCCTGGAATGACATACCAAAGGAGGAAGAAATTTTTCTTTGACTTGAAATACTACTTTTGGGAGGATCCATTCTTATACAAGCAATGCACGGACCAAATGGTAAGGAGATGTGTACAGGAGGAGGAGGTGGAGAATGTCCTTCGACATTGCCATTCTCTAGAGGTCGAAGGGTATTTTGGAGCAACACGAATGACAGCCAAAGTTCTTCAATCAGGATTTTTCTGGCTCACTCTCTTTAAAGATGCATATAATTATGTGTTAACTTTTGATGCATGTCAAAGGGATGGGAATATTTCTAGGAAAAACGAAATGCCTTTTAGTAACATTTTAGAAGTAGAAATATTTGATGTCTAGGGCATAGATTTCATGTGACCTTTTCCATCTTCTTTTTCTAACCGTTGCATTCTTGTGGCTGTAGATTACGTCTTGAAGTGGGTGGAAGTTGTAGCATTACTGACCAATGATGCTCGTGTCATGGTGAAGTTCATAAAGAAGAACATCTTCTTAGGATTCAGCACACTTAGAGCTATCATAAGTGATGGAGGGTCTCATTTTTGTAACCAACAATTCAAGACATTGTTGAGCAAGTATGGAGTTACACATCGAGTTGCAACACCATACCACCCACAAACAAGTGGGCAAGTGGAGGTGTCTAAGAGGGAGTTGAAAAGAATCTTAGAGAAAACAGTGAACGCCTGTCGGAAAGATTGGTCCACAAAGTTGGATGACGCACTTGGACATATAGAATGGCATTCAAAACGCCACTAGGGATGTCACCATATAGGCTAGTATATGGGAAAGCATGTCACCTTCTAGTATAGCTCGAGCATAAGTCATATTGGGCTATGAAGATATTAAATTTTGATCCAAAGGTGGTAGGTGTGAAGAGATTGTTGCAACTCAATGAGATGGAGGAATTTCGCCACAAAGCATATGAGAGTGCTCGGATTTATAAAGAGAAGACCAAGCTTTGGCATTATAACCACATAGTGAAAAAGGAGTTCAAAATAGGAGAAAAAGTTTTGTTATTCAACTCGAGACTTAGACTTTTTCTAGGAATGTTATGATCAAGGTGGTCTAGACCATTCATTGTAAGTAAGATTTTTCCACATGGGGCCACTAGAGTGCGTCATCCAGTGAAAGGGACATTCCAGGTCAACAGACAAAGATTGAAACCCTATGTTGAGCATGGATTAGAAGAAGAAAGGGTTTCGATTTTTCTCCACGAACCAAAGTGAACATAAAAAGGTGTCAAGCTAAGGACGATAACTAAGCGCTTCGTGGGAGGTAACCCATGTTTTCAATTTATTTTACTTTATTATTTTTCGTGTATTAGATTGTTTACTTCATGTTTCTTTAAAAAAAAAAAAAAAAAAAGGCTATGTTACGGTATAGTGATGTGGCACAACTTTGGCCATAGCTATCATGCCGCGACACAGTCACAGACTGCTGGGTTGTAACAAAAAAAAAGAAGAAAAAAAGAATCTATGCTGTGACATGAAATAGGCAAAAGCGACTATGCCACGAAACAGTCGTGAACTGTTGGGTTTTTAAACCCAGTAGCACCGCAGCCCAGAAAAACAAACATTCTTATCTATCCACTCTAACACCTCTCTCACCTCACAAATCTTTTCTACACAAAACAAAACTTCACCCTCTCTTCAAGATTTCATACTCTAATCTTTGTTCTCTTCATCTTTTGCAAGGATTTCAAGAAAATATTCTTGGTGGCATTAGGGTTTGCGAAATTGGGGATTTCAAAATTCAAGAGAAATTGGTGGAATTTTTGGGTAAGAATGCCTCTTCCCAACACAAGTAAGTATTCCTACACTCTATATTCACGAACTGGGCTTCATATTACTTGATTTTGAAAGATTGATTGATGATTTTGGGTGTAATTTCGTTGGTTGAGGAAAATTTAGTATAAGGGTGATTTGCAATGCTGTTGTGCGAATTATAGAACATACATTGTTGTTAGTTTGTGTTGTTGATTAGATGTTGTTGTCAATTTTTTATTGGAATTGGATTGTTGAGAAAAATTGGTGTTTAAAGGAGATAAGTTCAATCCTATTTGAAGAGTTGGGTGGTTGTTTGCTATTGGAGTTATGGAGTTCGTTTGTTTGAAAGAAAAAAGAAAAAAAAATTATGGCTAAAAAAATAGCTCCCAAACGAAAAGAGAGAGGTGGGAAGGGTAGTCAAGCTAATGATCCTAAATTTGTGAGTGTAAAAGCTAAGGAAAGGTTTAAAGATGCTCACCAAAAAGAGAGGGGTTTCATACAAGAAAGAGGCATAGATTTTGAGGATAATATGTAGAAGACATAACTGACATAATAAGGAAATTGGGTTGACATAAATTCACTCAAACTCCCCCATCAACAATTGCTCCAATTGTTGAATGACTAAATGCCAACTTACCTAAAAGTGCCAATGGGGAAAACGAGAGTTCGAGGAAAGGAGGTAAAATTTGATGTTGAGACAATTAACAAATATTATGAATTGCTGCCATGTAACGCCCACATGGAGGTACGTAATTTAATTTATGCTATTATACCTTTAGTTGATTTTTGCTAAAGTTATTTTGAGAAAATGTGAAGAAAATGCATTAAACTTGTATTAAGGGTAAAATGGTCTTTTCACTAAAAATTAGTTGAAATTGTGGGGAGTGAAAAGAGATAGAATTTCATGGAGAATGCAAAAAATGAGGGCATTATGATAATTGACTAAGGGACATAGATGGAAATTTAAAAAAAGTGCAAGGGCAAAATGGGAAAGTATGCATATTAATATGAGATATTAAGAGTTCAAGCAAAAAGACCATAACATTCTCTACTCCATCTAAAACCACTTCACTCTCAATTTCTCTCATCTCTTCATCAAATTTCCAAGGGATTTTAGAGGGCTTTCGTTGGATTTTGGTAGAGATTTGATCCTAAGCACCCAAAGGTAATAATTCTTGCAATAGATGTGAGATTAATTTTTAAAGTGTTGAATTCTTATAGTGTTTATGCTTAGGGTTTTAGAGAAAGAACAAGTCTACCAAAGAAAGAAAGATTCTAGTGGAATTACTCAAGCACAAGGTAAGTAAATCCTACCCTAAGTATGATTTAAGTTATGTTGTGTATAAAACTTTCTTTATACACATATATGTGTTATATATAGAATTTTTGATGGATTTGGTGTTGAATAATGATTAGAACCTATCGATGAGAAGTTGTGTTGGTGTAGTTGTTATTTGATGAATGTTTGAATGAGATTTGGAAGAATTGAAGTGAAAATTTTGAAGTGTGTATTTTGGGCATATTTGGTGTTAATTATGGAGGAGTTTATTCCAAATTTTTGGTGGCCTAAAATAGAGATAGAAGTGTAGCCAAATTAGTGTTGATTTGTGCACATGAATTGTTTGATGAAATGCCAAAGAGAAGTATATGCATGAGTTTTATTCATTTATGAATTGATATGAGTTTGTAGAGGGTAGAGAGAAACTTATTTTTATGCTACATAGCATTCTTGCATTTAAACATTTGCATTTAGAAAGAATTATAAGCATGAAACCATCTACATGCATACATATTCATAAACGCATGAAAAAGCCCTAAAATATGTTAAAGATAAAATAGAAAGAAATGAGAATATTAAAGATATTCAAATCTGAAATTTTAGTTAAAGAAGTGTAAAAAGATAAAAAGAAGAGAAGGTTGTTGCGATGGGGAGTCGCGAGTGACATAGTCCCACATGCACGCCGCCATTAGTAAGCGGCCTCAGAATTCAGAAAGAAGAATTGTACAGTCCATTAGAAGTGCGTATTGATGAGGACTATACCCAAAATTAAAGAATTCACTCACACGGCCAAGGCTCTAAATCCATGCCCCAACCAAGTCCGATCGGAAAAAATAGAAAGAAAGAAAGAAAGAATAGAAAAGAAAGAAAGAAAGAATAGAAAGAATAGAAAAAAAAAAGAAAAAAGAAAGAATAGAAAAGAAAGAAAAAAATAGAAAGAATAGAAAGAAAGAAAAGAAAGAAAGAAAAGAAAGAATAGAAAGAAAGACTAGAAAAGAAAGAAAGAAATAAAGAAAAAGAAACAAAAACAAAAACAGAATAAGAAAAATAGAAAAGAAAATGCATAATCTATGCATTTGTGCATTTGCATCATGTATATGCATAAAACCATGCTCATTATTATGAGTAGTGAGAAATTAGAAAATTGAGAGAAAAACAGTGAGCAAAACAGAGAAAGAATGAGAAAGAATAGAGCAAGCATAGAGAAAGAACAGAGAGAATAACAGAGAAAGAATAGAGAATACTCGGGAAATGAGTGGTAAGGAAAGAAAATTCAAGATTTAAGCAATGGAGAGAGAAGGGTAGCATAGCTGTAAAACCCCTCCCTAGCCGGGTATTTCCTAAGTATCCCTTGGCCATTGAGAACCTAGAAAACGCACGCCTAGGAAAGAAGTTTATTTTAAAATCCTATTTAAAGAATAAACTTGTAGTTTAAAACATATATATAGATATATGTATTTAATTTTTTTTTCTTAACTATAATAAGTTCATTGTATAATCAAAAAATATAATTTCCTTTCTTGGAGTAAATTATGAAATCCGTAGTAATACTTACTAGAACATACACACTTTTATAAAATTTACTAGCAATTTGATTTCCTTATTAATACAACATATTTACTCCATTATAGAACATGGACATAATTACATTATGAGATATGAACATAATACATACACTAAATATTAGCAAAACCATTCAATAGTCATCATTAAAGCATCCCCTCATGCTCATAGCGTCCCTTGGAATCC